GAGTGAGGACAGAAGCTGATTATGGCATGTCCAGATCCTCCTGGGCTGGTAGTTCCTGACTAAGTAGATTAGAGCTTTCTAATTGGATCTGTTATGAGCTGGCAGGTATCTCTCTGCCCAATGACTTTGCTCAAGAGGAAAACACTTGAGTGGGTTTACCTGGAAGCAGTGGATAGAAACATTGCCAGCTCAGTCTTAAGAATGGATCTAGGTGTGTCTTACAATATTTTAGTTCCTGCATGACTGATGTGGTAAGAAACATGACCTAGCTAAGAGTTTGTGCAGAAAACAGTTCTGGGATGCCACTGAAAGTCTGTACCATAGCAGAGCAATCTGATGTGGAAGAAGCTTCTCAGTCCTGCCTAGGCTAAAAAAGAAACTAGCAGCTGTGAGTAGGCAGTTCTTGAGCACTTAGCATAGCAAGAGGATGAGGCAAAAGTGCTAATACAGCTTTGATGTTGTGTCTTTCTTGATTGACAGGCTTGGTCCAGTATAGTCTATCAGCTGATCCCCAATGTCCAGCAGCTGGAAATGAACCTGAGGAACTTTGCTCAGATCATCGAGGCAGACGAAGTGCTTCTGTTTGAGAGAGCCACTTTCCTGGTGAATACAGCTGTTCTGCCCTTCGTGTCCTTCTGCCCAGCCTAGGATGGAGTTCCCTGGATGGAAACTGCTGTTTTGGCAGTAGCCCAAAGAGAGGTGCCAGCACCACATGGCAGAACGTTTTGATTCAGGCCTGAAAGTAGTTGATGTGACTCTGTAGCTTGTGTGACTTTCCCAAAATGTCCACTTGTAGCATTTGAGCTGAGGGCTGTAGCAGGGTTTCATATCTCCATTCTCATGGTGGCCAATGGACTTTTTTGAGCATTCCTGTCTGTGCTTGGCAAGAGCCGCTTTTAGCTCAAAAAATCTTTTTGGTTCCTCATGGATTGGCATTTTAACTAGTCTTGATTCCCCTTTTTTTTGTCAAGGGGAAAACAAATCTGGAGTATGGACAGAGGATTGCAAGCTATTGAACTGCTATGGCTTCCAAAGTTACTAGCTCTGTGTGGTAACTATGGCTGTAATCCTTGAGTCTTCAAAGGAAAATAATATAATAAAACCACTGTTGTGGCTCATCTCTCCCTGCTCTTAGTTTCTAGATGGCTCTCTGCAGGCTTCATACCACAGCTTTTGTTGAAAGGAAGAAAAGGGTTTTATTTATTTTTTTAAATCTCTCCTTAAACAAATACCCAACCCTAAAACAGGGTATATAAGGAAGGAGCTGTTACTTTTCTCACTACTTAAGATATCAGAAGTAGGCACCTGTCATTTCTGGCAAGCTCTACTTTTTGACCTTTTGTATGTGATGTACGCCACCAAGGTTGGACTATTTAACAATAATTGTAGGTTAAATTATCACTGGGAAGGAATAATATTTTCAACAGAAAAATCTGTACTTATTTTCAACTTAGTGGTGATTTTTAAAAGGTTTTTATATAATATATTTAAACTTCCCTAAGGACTCCTTTTTCCTGCATCGTTTTTCAAATCACAGTAACAGCAAAAGCTATCTGGGGAGTTAAGGAATGAACTTGCATACAGAGAAGGCTTTGGAATGTAATCCTTGAATCTGCCTCATCTTGTACTTCTATGAATAACTGGGCAGATTTAAAACTAAAAAATCGTTTTTTTTTTTAAGCTGCATGAGAGATTTTTAGTTACTGCAAGCCTGTTAAATATAATTCCATAGGTAGAAAGCTAATATTTTAATATTCATATGCAAGGGTGTATGACACTTCTGGTAACGGATGGTTTCATGATAATTTGGGGGGGTTTCTGTGGGATCCAAGATGATGCAATTACTTGGTCTGCAATTCTTCTTGTACAGTAAATACAGCTCTTGGCCCACTGGCAAATTTGGCTGAAGAGTGAAGGTCTGTAGGGTACCAGCCTCATGAAAATGGTCAGGGAGAAGGGACAGATAGGTATGGATCACTTTTTTTTTTCTATTTCCAAACATCCTTGTTGATAATTTTTGATCCTTTGAATTTTTTGCAGTGTTGCTGCCACATCCCCCTGTCAGATGACAAGGAGGGGAGCCGGTGTCTATGCAGACAACTTAGCACAGTCTTGGTCTGACTCAGTTAACTGGTGGAAAGAGGTGCCTGGGAAACCAGGCTTCGTCGGCTCTGCTCTTAGTCAGGAAGCTGAACAGCTTGCTCTGGTTTCTGAGAGCGTTGCTGGTGCATCCTTCGTGTTGCATAATGACAAATTTATCAGGTTTCAGTCCTTGGGAATCTGCAGCATGATAGACTTAGCAAGAAAAGTCTATTCTAACAGTTGTCAAGTATCTGTTTTCCCTTACCTGAGGAGATTGTTATCCCCATTCCTTGTGCTTTTCTTGTTCTTGGATTCAAGGCTTAATGCTGGTAAGTTGAAGCATACAGTCCTCAGATTAGATATAGTGCCTCTTATGTTCCTCATGTGTTTACATCTGTTTGCATTTGTGAAAGGCTTTGCAGATATATTACTGAATATCATTTTATTGTGGAATGATCATAAGTATTGTTTTAAATAGTTTCCAAGATTCAGTCAGCAGAAAGCAAAGGGAATTCCTGTGCTGGTTACAACCCACTTCCCATAATTGCTATCAAGCCTGAGAAACCAGTGCTGAAACGAATTACTAATGCTGTGGTCCCTCTTGTTTTCTCCTCCAGGTCATTTCTCACTATCAGTGCAAAGAACAGCGGGATATCCACAGATTTGAGAAAATCAGCAACATTATTAAACAATTCAAACTGAGTTGCAGGTGAGCTGGTTTGGTCATTAGTTGGGTAAGATACCTGAGCTGATACCAGGTGTATTTTGCTTTCCTTTGAGACAAGCTTTCTTGCTTCAAAATGAATAAAAGTTGCATGGCTCCTCAGCAAGCTAAGGAGATGTCTTAGTTAAAGCTCTGTCTAGAAAGCGCTATGTTTAAACATGAGGATCCTGCATCTTTCATAACTTCCTCCTTTGCTGATCGTTGAAAGAGGTTTGTTTTGAAACAGCTGTTTCTCTCCAGGCCTTACCCTCCTGGGCAAGGTAGGAAAGTTCTGGGCATGAACAGATACCTTGATAACCTGAATTTATAGAACATTGAATAGTTAAGAGCTTTGCCGTAGACCTTGTTTGTCTGGGAGGAAGAAGCTTGCAGATGTTCTTTGCCACTATTTTCAAAGGAAAATAGAAAGTTCCCTTCAGAGTAACTTGCCCTCTAAGCAGTCTTCAGGTTCAACAGCCTGTCAGTAGTACCTGGAAGTGTTTAGAGGCTGACTGGGATGGAAAAGTGGCTGCATGATTTGTAAGCCATGTCCAGCTTTTTCTACTTTGTGCTTCCTTCTATTGGCTATCCAGAGTGTAAAACTGTCCTGCCAAAGGACTGGTGGGCTGTGGCATCTCCCCCTGGACAAGGGGCAGTGGTTGCTTGGGCACAGCAGGCTCAAACAGGCCATGAGGTTGTGTGTCTTGAGTAACAACCTCAGTCATTCTAAACTTTATATCGTTCTCATTGAATCAATCAAGCCTAAAGCTAAAGAGTCTGTCTTAAGTCTCAGCTGGTGGTAGTCTCCACCTGGCAAACATCATCTCTTCATTAAAAACACATGAAGTTTCATTAATAATGAAATGTTGGGCTGCAGAGGGGAAGCAAGATTATGGAAAAAGTTCATTCATACTTTCTTCTCTTTCTTTCACTCTTCCCCCAATCCTTAGTAAGCTGGCTGCTTCTTTCCAGAGCATGGAGGTCAGGAACTCTAACTTTGCTGCTTTCATTGACATCTTTACATCGAATACATACGTGATGGTGGTTATGTCAGACCCTTCAATACGTAAGTTGAAGCAAGGAGAAGTCTCTGGCTTGTTTTTGTTCACAGGAATGAAAGGCTGGATGAGTCTAGTTTAAAATGCGTCTCTGTTAAAAATGATGAACACCAGACACAATTTAAAAAAAAAAAAAAAAAAAAAAAAAAAAAAAAAAAGGTGGAATTCAATGATATAAATAGATCTACTGTCCTGCCTGGCTGCCCTGAGCTAAGGGTGAGAAGATGTTAAAAGACACTGAGTTTTCAAAGGGAGGAAGAGCTGTGTGCCCCTGACAGCGGAGCTATCTGCTGCTGCCCGCTGGAGGGTTGCACCAGTGCGGGGGAACAGCTGAAGTGCCCTGATCTGAAGCAGAACCCAGACCTCCTGCTATTAAATATTGCACAGCTGGGGAACGGCGGGCTGGGTGGATGGGGGAGGGCTTGCTGGTAGGGACGTTGGTATTCTTGGGGGCATCGTGCCTCTTGGGGAATAGCGCCTGCTTGCCGCTACGTTGTTTTACTAAATCTAAGTGAGACTTAGTGCTAATCAGTGAAAACAGAAGCTGTCAAACAGTGCTAGGTCTGTAGCAGAGTCACGTTTCATCCTATAGTTGTCATATGGAGGTTAGAGCAGAAATGTGAACCCAGGCTACCCAAGGCACTCTGCTTCAGTCCTGCTGATAGGATACAAAATAACTGGCCTTAAGCAACACTTAATATCTGACAACTTTGTTACCTCCCTCAATGTCTTTTTTTTTTTTTTTTTTCCCCACCCCCCTCCTACCTTGCCCTTTTCCATCCTAGCTTCTGCAGCAACACTGATCAACATCCGCAATGCCAGAAAACACTTTGAGAAGCTGGAGAGAGTGGATGGACCAAAGCACAGTCTGCTCATGCGCTGAACATTGGCCAAGGCACATGCTCTCTGGGGGGAGAAAAAAGGAATTGGAACTACTTTTTCTTTTTTAGGAGAATCTAACAATGTGGATGTCTTTGTGGGCTTTGAAATGAGTGTGCCGCTTACCACCGCAATCTTTATTTTTTCTCCTTTTAACGTTGGACACTAGTCGCTCGGATGATGTCTGGATACACTGCGGACCTTCAGAAGAGACTTCCTGGCATATGTGGGGTTGGGAAGAAGCAAGGACAGGTGATGTGCACATGGTCTCATACTTCTGGTTGTCATAGTAGCACATGGCAGAGCCTTTTTGGATGTTCTGCTCCCAGGTTATCATACAAATCACAGGGATGGAATATTTACTATTTTATTGGTAGGTTGCTAGAATGCATTTATAAATTTCTCCTTGTCTTCAGTCATGAAAATAAATTTTTGCTACCAGGGATTTTGGATCTTAGAGCTTTGGAAAGTGGGCTTTCTTTCTTCTAAAATCTAGATCTTTCTAACATCTGGTGAGCAGATGTTTAATGGCTGCTTTTCTTACATGCTACTTATTTGGGAGGGGATTGACTGAAGGTCATGCCAGGCTTTCATTTGAGAGCTCCTCATGTTCAGTCAAAATTCACTTAAAAGGTAAAGCAGTCAGGATAACGCTGGTCTCTCTACACTTGTCAAGGTGCTGAAAAGCTCAGAGTAAATGGAAGGAGCCAAAGGCTCCCATTTCCCAGGCAGTGAGATAGTCCTGGTGTGCCAGGTCTCCATCCTGGCGAGCCAGGAGAGGCTCACGTGGGCGAGTAGGAAATCTAGACTGTGGTTGTTTTGGGTTGTGTGTGCATGAGCTATATTAGCTGTGTTTGCAAAGAGCCAGTTGGACAGTGTTTGACAGCAATATGACTTGACATTACCATCTATTTTTAGTGATTTTTGTGTGTGTGCATTTCTATTAAACATAGGAACAACAAAAGCACTATGAGTTAGGGGAATCTCTATGACTTGGTGGATGGGAATTGGTGCTTGTCAAAGCATCTTTTTTTTTTTTTTCTTGTTGCATCAAATTATACATATAAAAAGGTGTGTGTGGTAAATCTGAAACTGAGCATGGCTCTACACTTTGTATTCTCTGAATCAAGCCTTTCCCCTGTGTTTGTGCATACACACATACAGGGGTAAAAAATCTGAGAGGGTGAATCTGTTACCTGAAAGCTAAAGTGTGTGTGTGTGTCAGCTGGAGAGCTCAGCTGGGTTATGCACAAGGTCTTTGATCGTGAATCTTTACAATATTAAACGCCCATGTCTTGCACCACCTACTCAGCAGATGTATTTGTAATATATAAGGCTAGGTGTTTTTTTCAATGAGAATCAAGTGGGCGGCCCTGGGGGAGTGCAATTCTGTTACCAACCTTCCTGTTAGAACTTCAAATGTCTGAGCGTCTGGAGAGCTTGTGAATGGGCGAGAGATGCTGAAGCCTTCGTGCTGGAAGGTGTGGAGGATGGTGCCCGTTCAGGAAGGGCAAGAGTGAATCTCATCCACCCGCAGCAAGATCAGCTCTGACGTCTGCCTGGAACAAGTCAAAACGCAACCGACCGTTTCCTCTTGCAGATGCTGCCCGCTTCTTCGGCGAGGTCAGTCTCTGCTTTCCCTCCAGTCCGTAGAAACATTAAGGTGTCTGTTTTGACAAACCTTGACCCTCATGCTGCTCAGTGAAGCAGGAGGGTGAGTAGTTCTGCTGCAGATCCATGTGTTGGCTGAGTCTCTGCAATTTCAGCTTCACGGTTGCTCGTGGTGGGCAGGCAGCTCTGGGATCACAGTGGAGGGTCGCTGGGGGCCGCGGGTCCCACGCCGGGTTCAAGAGCCGCTGCAGGAGCCCGTGCCTGTAGGTAGACAGCGTGGGGGAAGGAGAGTGGGAAATCGGGGCTGGTATTTCCATGGTTACAGCAGCTGGTGGGGCTAGCGTCTCGCTCTGGATGTTGGGAGCTGTCGTTGATGCTCCTTGGAGAATCAGTTGTTTGGCATGTGAATTGAAATAGCATTAAGAAAGTGAATTAAAAAAATAATAATTTTAAAAAAGACAAATGGGAGAAGCAAGTAACAAACTGTCAAGGAAGAACAGTGTGATAGTTGAGAAATGGGAACAAAACCCAGTTTCTCCAAGGCTTTCCTGAAGCCTCTCCGAGGCCAGCAGCGCAGCAACGGGAGCTGCGGTATTGCTGCTCGCTCTCGCAGATTTGCTTTCCTAAAGGCTCTATGTTTAGAGGGTTCTTCAGGGCAAGAGTTTCTTCTTGCTCTCTGGTGATCCGACTTATGCTAATGAAAATAAGCCACTCACCTTCTGACAGAGCTGTGCTGTATCTTGTTTGTGTCTCTCCAAAGCAAACTTTGAGGATTGTATTTTATTTTATTTTTTTAGAGCCTGGGGGCAGTTGCTGCCAGCAGAGGTCAGTGCAGCTGTGCTGTTCAGGACGCTTCCCTGGGACTAGCAACCAAGCTCTCCTGGCCTTTTGGAGCAGTGAGGTTTTGTGGATCAAGGTTTTGGGAAGATCCCAGGCTAACCAGGCAACAGTAAGGCTTGCTCTGCTTTTACAGCTCCATATAATATTGTCTTAGAAATAAGAAAAGAAAAATCCTGGACGAAAATAAGCTTTTGGTATCTCTGGCTCTGTTTGCTGTGACTTGAGGGGACAGTGCTCTGATGGTGCTGTTGGTGTCCCAAGGAACTGAGCAAAGTCCTGCTGCTGCTTCCCCAGGCAGAAACGCAACGAGCAGCTGGAGGGCACCTGCTATTTGCTGAACATCAGCTTGTCTAACTAGTAGGTTTTTTGCCCTGTTTGGGAGGGCGTTTCTGTTTCTGACCCCTCTGTTTCTTGGTTCTTATCTCTGCTGATACCAGAATACAAAGCGACGCCCTTTGCCAAGGAGCCCAGCTCGGGGGCGATGGCCACAAGCTGCTGTCTCCATGTGGTTGTACCGGGGCTGCCAGGTAGGTCCTGGCATGGAGCCGTGCAGAGCTCTGCTCCCGAGGTCTTCACATGTGATCCACCCCCAAAATACCACATTAATTCTCATAGTTCATGTGCTGCAGCCCTGTGTTACAGAAAGGAGGCATGTGGAAAGTGTGTTGTGTTTGCAGAGCGCAGCCTCTGCCTTGCGAGGCCAGAGCTTTCCTGACCCTCTCTGGCTGCAGTAGCACCATGTGCCCCTCGTTTGGGATCTTTCTGGTGAGGCTGAACTCACATGTGAGGAAGACCCCGGGCGATGAAGCCGCTCTTAGCGGTGCTTGTTCCTAGCCAGGGCGGTACTGAACTTCCCGGGATATGTGACAAGAAGGAGACGTGGAGCTGCATACCCGTGGAAATTGTCCCCCTCTTCTGCCTTCTCCAAGCTGTCCTTGGAAAGGCAGTGGCTCAGGATTAGGCTTCAGCTAGGAGTGATTCCCATGCTACTTCCAGAGAGTGATGCAATTCTGCAGAGTGGGTTTGAATTCCCTAAAAATAGACTTGCTTTGGTTGATTATGGCTTATGGGCACCTCCTAGGTAGCACCAGGGTCTTCCTTAAGGGCCTGTAATTCAGAAGATCGTTTGTCCCAAACATGCGCAGTCTCTGTCCATCCGGGAAACAGCTTTTTGCCAGATGAGGCATCTGAGCTACACATGCCATAGGGGAAGGGATGCTTTAGCTGGTTAAAACTGCACAAAGACACATCTCCAACAACTGCAGCTCAGTGTAGAGTTGTGGAGGTGAGAAGGGACCTCTGGAGACCTCTGGTCAAAGTGGGTCCCATTAGATGAGATTGCTCAAGGAGCTACCTAGGTAAGACCTGAGTACTTCCAAGCACGGCATCTCCCCACATATCTCGGCCCTTGTCCCAATATGTGACTGCCATCGCAGTTTAAAGAAAAGGAACAAATCCATCTTGCTGATCATGTTCCTGTGTTGCAACTTGAGCTGTGGTCTCTTGTCACCAGCTGCCTCCGCAAAGGGTCTGGCTTGTACTTCCCTCTATCTTATCATACCTCCTGAAGCCTGAAGGATGCTCCCTGTCTTCAGCCACCACTGGACTTCATAATGCCGAGTACAGCCCTTGGAATCCAATAGTTCATTCAAATTTCCACTCGCCTTATTCACTTGCTCTACATGTTTCTCTAGAAGGCTGTGTTCATGCTGATACTGGGAGCTGCTCAAGTGTTCAGTGCATCAAGGGTTAAGTATTCTGCATTTCGCTGGGCTGGGAGAGGCTCAAAGGAGGCAACTGCACATGTGGAAGGACATCAAGATACCAGTGGTGGGAGACAAGACCCATTGTAAGAAGAGGGTAGAATAGTGTCTTGCCCAAGTCTCCTGTAGTTTTTGCCATGTTGTATAACCACTGATTATGTTTGTTAGCCTTAAGTAGTGAGATACAGAAATAAGGCCCTTGGTTTAATGACTAAATGGAGGGGAGAGACTGAACACTACTAAGTACAGTCCTTTGCCTCAGGATAACAAGTGAACAACAGAACATGCCCACTCTGGGCATGCTTTGATTTTTTTATTTATTTTTATCTGCCAGCAGGCTTGGGAAGAACAACTTCCATATTTTGCCTGGTTGGGCAGGTGTTTCTGGCCCACCTCCTCCTAGATAATGGACTTCAGGGCTGTTTCTCGCCCTCAGCACCAGTCAGCATAAAGGGAGGAGGTAGCTAGAAAGCAAAGGCTGAAGCTGTGGCCAAGGGGACAGTGTTAGTGTCACTGCCCAGGTGGCCTTAGCTCTTGGTACACGTCTAGGGGAGTTTGGTTGGTGCAGCTTCTCCATAGGAAACCTCAGAGCAGCTGCTGCGGGCTGCCAGCTCCAGGCTGGCCCTGTCCTTCGGGTGCCTGCAATGGGGCTGGTGCAGCTGGGAGCTTCCTTGAGAGGCTGCTGCGTGGCACCTCCTGCTCCTGCCACCCTCCTGGGTGAGGCTGGAGCAACTACTGTGAAGAAATTCCCTCTGGCAGCCCTTCGGCCCATAGTTAGAGGCGTTGGTCACTTTTCCCTAGGCTGAGAGTGAGTCAGCTCTGTCCCCAGCGCTTCCTGGTGGGGCTGTGGGTCCTTCTGTGTCCTATTTTCTCACCACTGCCAGCAGCATTGTGTCCCCTCCCTGGGTGAGCTGACCCTGTCCAGCCCTGAGCTGCTTGCGTGTCTCCTGTGCCTTTCTGGCCATGCTGGAGCCTCTGAGGCCCTAGCTGTGAGGAAGGGGGAGGCCTTGGTCCTTCTAGGATTTACTGCCCTTCCTCCTTCGTGAAGGCAAAGACATGTTCCTGCCCCTCCATCCTCCTGGTACCTGCGAAGCAGAAAAAGCAGCTGGTTCATTTTGCACTTTTTTTTATTATTATTTTATTTATTTGCTTGTGGAAAGCCTTAGCTCAACAGGAAGCCAAGAAAAAGGATTAACAAATAAATAAATCTGGATTTGTGCCCCAGTCCCAGCCTGGGGCCAGAAGAGTCAAAGCTGCCACATGCTGGAAGGAGAACTGCCCTGTGGGAGCAGCAGCGCAGCAAGAGTCCAGGGAGAGGGCAGAGCCTTCCCTGGGGCTGGCACAACCCTGGGCCTGTCTTTTCTGAGGGAAGCCCAGGGC